CCAATCTTTCCTCCTCCTTTCCCTCAAAAAAAAAAAAAAATAAAATAAAATAAACTAAATAAAATAATGAAGGAAAACGTACAGTTCGTTACAAACATAAATTGACCGAGACAACTATTAAACAGGTAATTGAGAACATTCTAATGACCATTTCGAAGTATTATATTATAGCCGATACTAATCGAATCTCGAGAACAATATCACGATTCTATCGACGATTCATTAACGTCCATCGAACATTCTCGCGGCAGTCGCTTTTCATAGAGAATTATGCACTTCGTATTGATGCATTGCGATATATGCAAGCTTTGATGCACTCACGTCGCATCTTGTGCCTTGTTTCTATTTGATAGTCTTGAATCGAGCCCGTGTAACGTGCCCTCTGGCGAATATGTCCTTCCCTTTCAAATTAATTGATCTACTCGAAACTACGTTAAGAGTTAGGTGAGGTTTATTCTACATAAATCATCGTCAATTACAATGACCGAATTATTCATGGTCGTGTTTGTATATTTCTCGAAATATGTCGAGGTTGTTCATTTGATACGCAGTTTTATTTACGCGTTTGCGTGCGCTTTCGGAATTGTCGTCGAGGAAACAAACGACGTTTCGCACATATACGAAGGGAGTGACTCGAAATATTGTTCGTGTTGTATTAAGACGACTGTTTAACGCGGAACATCGATAAAATCTAACCACATAAAATTGCGTTAATTCACGGTAGAAAATTAATTGGTTTGCTTTTTTCAAATCTTTTCAGCCCTCTTCAATGAGATCGCGTATCGTCTAAGTATTTTTTAATCGCAATTTAAATCAACAAATATCATTTATCGATATATCGTTACATCGAATACGTAACGTAATGGATATATGTGTTTTTTGATAATAGAAATTGAAAAACTTGGAAGAAGTAGAATAATTACGATTGTAATATCATTTATTTCGCGTATACCGAATCATCGAGGATTAATTGAAAATCTAATTATGGAACATCGATGTTATCAAACGAGCATCGCTTTTTCTTCACATTTGCAGCGATTAAACGTTCGTTTAGAAATCGGTGTGTAAAAAATTTCCGGTATACCAACATGACCTACGCAATTAATCCCATTTCCGTCTTTAACTAGCAGATATTCCTTTGAGCCCTCCGTAAACACGCTTCAACCGACAATGGCTCGCTTGGGGTTGGTGCTTCGGTAAATTAGCTTAATTAAACCATGAGTTTTTAGCTACTGCCTTGTCCGTTGTCGCGGTTGACAAGAAGAACTTTCTGTGCGAATGTCAACCGCGAGACAAAATCGATATTGATCGAGAACGATTCACGAATAAAATAATCCAGGAGATTAGTTCAAAGATGAGGAAGAATATTTATCTTTCGCATTAAATTGTATGTCAACGGCAAATTTAAATATTTTTGAAAATGTTGCTCGTTGAAAATACTCAAACATTTACGATTCATCGACCTCTTCCCCCTCATAAACAAATTTTACAATCAACTTAACAATCCTTCTATGTCACTTTATTCAACGTATCAAATAATTGAGAACCGCACTAAAGTGTCTTCTTCTTCTTCTTCTTCTTCTTCTTCTTCACATTGGATTAAGCATATTCACATGGATTCGCACGACTACGCGTGCAATCGTTTCGAAGTAAGAGGGGAGGATTATTGCCGCTCTACGTTTCACTTTCTCGTTTCTTCTTTTTCATCGACGAGAGGCCAACGAAAAGCCTAGTCGAAAATAACTACCGAAGCCAAGATATCTTCTTACCTTTCCGCCGGAAATATCGGGTGCGAATCGTAGGATTATTCGAATATGTATAAGTAATGCATAAATAATCAATCCAACCATGAATAATTTCGCTCATCAAATTTTGGTTTAATAAACGAAGTTCAAGGATAAACATTTCGAAGACTTGGAAAGAAAGAAACGGAAGTGAAGAAACGAGATTGAATTTAAAAAGTCATGAAACGGCGAATTATCGAGCGAATTACAGACCGATTTTCGTGTACTCCATGCGCATTATTCATGAGCACAGATTGCATCAGCCTTATTACACGAAAATTCTTCAATCAGCTTTCCGTGCTTTTAATGCTTAGTTAGACGAGATACGTGGAAAACAGCTTCGATTTATTTCGATTGCTACGACGATAAACGCAACGTAATAGAGCGATTGAAATACACGATGCACGCAAGTCTTCTTTAAGAAAGCATAATTAAAACGCTCGAAAGTATTTATTCAAATATGAATTAACTCGAAAGCGCGATAGGTAAAAAAAAAATTCTTAATATCCTCGTTTATCAGTTTGCGTATAAGATAATAGATTTGTCGGTGTCATGGAAAAAGGCGTAGAAATGCGATCCGCATCGTGGACCCTCGAAATCGAAAGAATGATCAACAGCGTGTCAGCGAATCGTGTGACAAACGCATTCATTTTCGGTGTAAGAAAAAAGCGGGAACGCGTGTCGCCGTAGGCAGTTTGCACAATTTGTCAGTAGCAGCTGGATGATACGCGAAAGAAAAGAAAAAGCGTAGACATCGTTATTGTCCGTTCACATTTTGTAAGAACCAACTTCATTCCGGTTATGCATATTTAAGATGAAATATCTCGAGACGATTAGAAAATAATATCTTCGAAAAATCGATCGCTCTTCTTAAGAATGCAATTTATATCGTAACCTTCGAGAAAAAATTTATACAAATTCTTCGAGTTCCTAATAAAAATTCCGGTGTAGAAGAAGATATAGCTCGAAATATCCTAAGCGATCCCACATATATATCGTAATATTTAAGATTAACGATACGAATCGAAGAAGAAAAAAGGAGCGCATTAAGTTTGATCACATGATAAAAAAGAGATTAGAACGCACACGATATCGAAAAACATGAGCGTAAAAACTCAGCTACAGAATTTTTATGTCGCGTGCGAGTTTTGAATTATAAATTAATGTGTAACGATATTTTAACAAAATGTAGGTCAGTGTTAAAAATCTTTTATCGCTTCTATATATTTCACCAGGCTATTGTTCATTGTTTTTTTTTTTTTTTTTTTTCGTATAATGCATATCTCTCATGGACTGATACATTTTCCACCAGAACGCGAAAAAAAAATTTTCATCAGCGTTCACGAATAACAAACTCTATACTATTGTTTCTTTATTCTGGATTAATCTCCCGTTGCACAGTTAAAACATACGGCCAATTTAAATCTACCACTGAAGCACAACGTGTTCGCACCGATCTATTCGAAACGTTTCAACTGTTACATCGAGCCGCGCGGCGCGGCGTTTAGCAAAACCTCGCGTTAATTTTCGGTTATTTATAGAGGTCTAGCCATCGTGAATGAATTGCCCCGTTTACCGGTGACGTCGATATCTGAATGAAATTCATTCATTGGTTAATATTATCAACGCATCGAGCTGAATGTTGGTTAGACTGTTGACTGTGGACCACAATGCATGAACAATGCGATTCAGTGGCATTATTTGCGTCGATGATGCCCATTATTAAACAGACCACTTTTATATCTTCGATACGCGCATACAATCTTCTGCGTATGCATACCTCGTTATTGCGTTTATCATTGGCATTCAAGGGCAAGAACAAAATTACAAATTAGTAGAATTAATCAATGAATGAATGATAAGTAAAGAATGCAAAGGATTAAAGACGAATTTCCAAGCGATTAATACAATTGTGAAAATTGTGCGCCGACCTATTATCTAAATAAGATCCACGGAATTACCATCTGATAAAAGTCAAGCGCCACTCGTAACCAATTATTGCGAATTGCGAAGGATCTCATTTCAAATAATGAATTGAAGTTTTATAGTAAGATTAAAACTATTCATTTTTGAGTGAAAATAATTTTCATGTTTTTACCACGTTTAATAATTAAGGATATTTTAACCACATTCTGTTGAGGACGATTAAAATTACACATAATATATCACACATAATCTATACAGAAGTTGCATCATTAATTTCTCATGATCTCTGCTTCAAAATATCTTGAAGTAGTTCGTTTTTATTCTCCTTATTCGTCAACTTTATTCTTTTTGTCATTTCTATCATCAAGGGAAATTAAAATCAATATCCTTAATTTGTTGGATTATTTCGATCACGTTTCCAAGATATTCAATTCAGAAAAAGAAAGATGTTATCACAATGAAAAAAAAGAATTCGTTTTACGAATTCTATCTACTCGTGGCCAATGAAAAAAAATCATCTTCCTTTCATTTTGTCGATTGAATAATTATTTTCATTCCTATCATGAACATTTCATTGTCTCTCGAATGATAGCGTAGCAGTGACAATGAAATTTTCATTTGTTTACAATTGTAATGGATAATACACGATTTGTCGCCTCCTTTTAAAAAGGGACCGTCGATTCATATATTAGATTAACGATTTAATGGATAACTCGATGAATGACTCTATGTATGGTACGTGTCGGTGCGTAAATTGAACAAATTATAGAAGAATGCCTTTGGTGTTGGTAGATGGACACCCTATGCGTGTAATACGTAGTGACAGCATTGCAATAGGGTGCAAAGGTTCTCAATCAGAATGGAAACCTTTCGTTTGAATCTTCTTATATAAATGTCATACAATGCACATGTACTCTTACATGTAAATATCGATTAAATTCGTTCTTTTTACCAAAATTCCAATCTTCAAAGAATACTTCAAATATACATCGAACATTCAGATATTTGAGAGAGAAAAGTACGTCAATTCTATAATTTCATAATTTCTTTTTAAGATTTTTTTCGAAGATCTTATTGCTTTTCATCTCCTCTCGAAAATGATAAATGTTTTTATAGGTGACAATATGAGCATCCCTGGATCACACAATGGCCAACTGGTCATAATTACGTTGGACGACAAGTGTGCGTGAGCGTACGTGTGTGTGTGTGTGTGTATGAGTTAAGATCGCATGGAATACGATCACCACCTTAACCAAAGATCAGTGTCTCCTGAAAAGTTGAAGAGTACACGCGTATGTACCACGGTCATCATTCTCCATCGTTTTCTATTCTTCGTTTATTTTGTAGCACGAGGGTGGTAAAACGTATATACATGTTTTTATAACATGATGGTTTTCGGCTGGATGCTTTGCATTTTTATCATAGGTGAGCGAAAAAATTACACAATTTACCAAGCACACATACATTTTTTTTTCTATAATTGTATCTCATATACAATTATACACATAGGATATAGGTATAGAAAACGATACAAAGATTTCGATTTTCATCGAATTTTCTCAACTCTCTTACTTATCTTCTTTATCTTCGATTAAATTCATTCAAATTAATTCTCCCACCAATATTTTCTCGCTTGTCCCGCTCGCATCGAGACAAAAGAATTATTTAAAGAAAAAATAATCGTGCAACGGACGCGGAAATGAGTTTTACATGAGTTTCGCTGAAAATTTCGCTAGATTGTTTCCGCTCTGTTTATTTCGTTTCTATAATCATAAACACTTCGCAAAACTATTCCCGCGCTCTTTTCTTCTTTCCTTTTTCTTTTCTCTTTCTTCTTTCTTTCACTTTTTTTTTCTCACTTTTTTTCGTTTTAATAAGAAAAATAAATGATTCGCTATGTTTCCGGAAATTCAATCCGTTTGAACAAGAAAGTAGTCGTGTTCCATTACTTGAGTGCTGTCACATACACCACGAAAATTGCTTATACATAATGCATGGAAAATCTGCATTTAACTTTTCACGAATTCACCGCGAGAAAACGCGGCTATACTACTGCTTTCGCGAAAGCTAAAAAGCAAAATTTGCAATATAATTCTAAAATTCAGATTTTATATTTTTGCAAAATGAAAAATTAAACGAAAACAAAAATTAAAAAAAAAAAAGATTTCTTATCGTAATGTGTAATCCAAGACAAATTTTTGAGTACGAATTTATCTTCATTTAAATTATTTATCGTTACAGGTAGTCGAGCGACAGCGAACAATGGATTTAAAAGTTATCCTACAACAGTAAAGACCTTCGAAAACGATACAGTTTTGCTTCCGTGTTACGTGGAGGATCTTGGTAAGTAGCTTCTTGCTCATTCTTAAATATTTTTTTTTTTTCATTCATCGTTTTCAATCCAAAAACAAAACATTTACATATTGAAAACAATCCCAGGTATAACAACGGATCGTGCTATTTCGAAAAAAAATAAAATCATTTTGAAATTAATATGATATTCTAACTCGAGGGTAAAAAGAGAACGACGTCGCAATTTCGGACAACGATCGATGTTAATTTCCTTAAGCAATAACACAGTCCATTCGCGAGACTCGTGTACAGGTATAGAACGCAAACAATTTACTGTACAATCGATCGAGCTGTCATCGGTGATTTCGCCTAACTGGATTGTCTGTCAGCCATTTGCTTTACCTTGTCGCAACTTCGATAAGAAGGGCATAAGTTAAGACGGATCGAGGATCGTAAGATCGAACGAATTAAGATCGGTACGAATTAAAGATTTGTTTCGGATTATACGGATCCTTGGCATTCTGGAACGTAACCATCGATCGCTTTTAATATTCCATTGAGTTAGGATTAATTGGGTAAATTGGGTCAGAGAAAAGGCATTCGATCGCTTATCGGTTTGGAATCATGCGCGCATACCGGATACGCGATTGAATGTTATTGCGATAGATCGAATTTATTAGGGGAAATAATACATTTATTCATAAAGTTGGACGTTAAATTTTTCGTATCGAATTTCGAATGGATGAAAAATTTCCATATATACGTGTATATATTATTCTCTATACGGCTAGATAACGTGCAGACAAGGGTGAGGTGGTGGAGAGATGGTATCCTTTTAGCTGACAGCGGCGAACCACGACACGAACCACCTGAAAGAGTTAAAATGTACTCAAACAGAAGCTTGGAGGTCTCCCACGTGAAACGGAACGATACCGGGGAATATGTATGCCAAGCGTCTCGACCAGCTCCCTGGGGACATGCCACACAAGTACACGAGATTGAAGTAATGTGTAAGTAGATCGGTATTGAGATCAAATTTTATCCGACAGAGATTTTTCACTTTATGAATGTACATTCATTCGCTAGATATTTCAATCCTATCGTTTACATTTTCTTGTTCTATTATTTGAAATTTGATAATTCGATTCCTGATGTTTAAATTGCTTAATAACATTTTTTATATATCGTTAATTGATTGAAAGAACAGAATCAAGAGTAACAAATTAATCGAAATCGAAAATTTAGAAGAGATAGTTGAAGAAGATTGAAGAATATGATGTGTGTTTTGTAGGAAAGTTAAACACAGATATCGATCCTATCGTCGTTGAAATTATGGATGACCCGAAATTGCTATTCGAGCTCTACATCGTTTCTCAAACAAATTCAAAAAAGTTTCCCCAGAATTTTGAAATTCTCCGTGGAGTTTTTCCAGTCGTAAGGATTTCGATTCCATTTCGTGAAACTAAGCGCAGATTTCTTTTTCTTCTAAAAGAAAGAAGAATTCTAACTAGCTCGACTATTTGTCGATGGAATTGAATTTTGTAACTTTTTCAGATCTTACGAAATTAAAAACGCCCATTCGTATTTGCCCAACGATACATATCTATATATATACATATCATTATATACATGTCATTCGGATTCAATTAATATTATCTGTCGTTTTGTCTGTTGCAAAACAAAAGCTATAGAATTCAATTCCAAATACTATTTGCACGCTTTTATAAAACAGTTTTCTTAAATATTTCGATTAAAAAATTTTTAGTAGTTAATTTTATTATTGTTATAAATGTTGTTTAATACGAAAAATATTTTCAAAGAGGAAAAGAATTTGTATTAAGTGTGAGAATGTAAAGAATGAGAAAAAAAATGTTATATATTTTTGAATATACCGCAGATCCACCTAGCGTTCATCCAATACCAGAATCTGGTAAACTGGAAGTGAATTTAGATGAAGAAGTAGATATGGCATGTGTCGCAAAAGGTGTTCCAGTTCCGATCATTACTTGGAGGAATAAGGTAAGTGGTATGTTTAGGTTAGGAAAATGAAAAATAAAACATCGATCAAAAATCGGTTCTTAAAAATATTTATCTGTTTAATAGGACGGAGAAATACCACTTTTATATGATAGATCACGTCTACGATTCCATGCTGAAAGCCCGAGCAATGCTGGTCGATACACTTGCGTTGCAAACAATGATGTTGGCGAACCTGCCATGGCCACCATAGATTTGCACGTTAGATGTAAGTATCATTTTTTTATTCTTATAATCAAATTTCTTATAATCTCTCATGATTGCATCACGATAAATTATATTTTATTATGATTGCACGGTTGTAACGCAAATTTGTGATCCACCTACGTACGACTTAATCGACTTTATATACGCCTATATGTATGCACGGAAATAGCAGCATGTACCATCCTGCATACGTTGTTAAACGATTGTAATTAAATTAGGAAATTACATTCTTCTCCTTTGTATTCCAATCAAATGTCCGCATGATCTAATTGTAACATCGCTATTCTCAAATGTGTTAAATTGTTGATACATAATTTACAAGACAATGCATAATTTACAATTCTCATATCAATTAAAAATCACGAATCGTTTGTTCGATAAATATTTTACATACGTAATAGAGTTAGTCCACAAAACATGCGAATTTTTTTAGTGAACATAATTTGAATATAATTTAAATGATTCATCATTAAATAATTTGAATGATTGAAAAAATGATTAAACATCAAATATTTTGGAAAAAGGATCAAAAATTGTTTTATATTCCAAGAAAGAATTCATTCGTAATAGAAATTCACGCGTAATAGAAAGTGAAATGAAATTAAATTTATACGAGATCCTTAATTTTTCTTCCTTCGATCGATATCGTTTCTTTAACATTATCAAATAATCAATGTTCCTTTTCTTTTATCGGATCAATATTCGTTTCAATTGATCGACAGACAAACCTAGAATCGAGATGACGAAAACTTGGATGCATGCACCCGCTGGGATACGAGTGCAGCTGCATTGTGGGGTTACTGCTTGGCCAGAGGCAACGGTGAGCAGTTTTGCAAGACTACGAACGATGTAATTACGACGCTAGTAATTAACAGTTCGAACAATAATGGGTTTGGAGTCAAGCCTAACGTAACTAGGAATACCTTCGTTATCGTTTAATTACTTCCTGGCTTCACTTTTGAATTCGTTTTCATTAGACATCATCATCAAAAAAGGAATTTCTTGATTTTTATTTCGGCATCGTTTCTTAACGAGTTATTCGTTCGGCATAATGGTATTATCTGTGAAGCAATTTCTGTGAATCTATCCCTTGGAAGTGGTAACGTGTGACAAATCGATTGGCGGGAAACGTGACTCGCGATACTTCTTACAAAAAAATGGCTACTAAGGTTAAATTCATTGCTGACGCAGCATTTCTCTTAGACTTCTCTCAGAATGTATCGTAGTATATTCTGCCGAATAGTTTTCTCATCGATGATTTTTAACTAATGGATAAATATAATAACAAGAATGATATAATATGATTTTTTTTTCACTTTTATATCATTCTAAAATTTGATCTTCAGGTGGAGTGGTATTTCAACAATAAAAGCGTGAAATATTCATCGAGGATAGTGAAACATAATGCGGGCAGCGATCATAGTTTGGTAATAAGGAACGTCAGGACGACAGATTATGGTTTCTATCTATGCAGAGCTTCGAATTCCTTAGGAATTACGGAAGCGGCGGTCGAATTATCGGGTATTGCAAATCCGGCCGTTTTTAAAAACACTTCGCATAGTTTGTCTAAGACTTCGTACAATTTCGTCTGGGAGGTTCACAGTTACAATCGTATCGTACAATACGAATTTAAATTTCGTAAATATGTGGTAAGATTTTAATAGAATTTAATGATTGTAATAGAATAAATGTGTATTTTACCATTGTATTTGAACCGTTTTCAATTTTTCAATTTTTAGAATGGCGTTCCTGGACAATGGCGTAAATTATATATACCCAGCGGTAGCGATGGAAATAGTTATATTCACACATATTCCTTCAAATTGACAGGATTAGAAGAAGCAACACATTATGAAGCACTCGTTTTATCAAAAAATCGTTATGGTTGGAGTAAACCATCGGAAATAATAAGATTCGCTACAGAAGGTGCTTGTAAGTAATAAAAATAAGTGAACTTTTCTTTGATTTATAAATAGTTTCATTTCATTTACGTTTTCATGACTTATATAATTTTTTTAGCAGATAAGGATAATTATATAACAAACGCAATACAAGAGGATACAATAATACCAGGTAATTTAAAATCTTTGTTAAGTTATTTAATTGTAATACATAATTAATAATTATAATACATTATAATGTACATTATAACGAAATGTGAAATTTTTTATCGCAGCTGTGCAACTTGCATCGATATCGCAACATTCTCCTTTAGATACTGACAGAAGTAAATCTTCTTTTATCCAAGCAAAAATCATGACAATAATGACAATGATATTCATATTATATACTTTTAATATAAATTTTTGTAAAGTATAAAATATTTGTTAATTAAATTAGGTTTTATAAGTTAATTTTATTATAATATATTTTATGAGTTAATTATCTTTATCTTTTTATCTTTCGTAAAAAAAAAAGAAAAAAAGAAAAGAATGTTGGAGAAAAATTAATTTGTATCCTATATTAGGATAAATTTTCATAATGTTAAGGTATTTCAATTTTAAGATTGTAAATAAATTTTAACTTGCATTTTGAATGAGTAAGTCATATTCTGAATTATTAAACTCTGATAATATTTTTATTAGATATTTCTCTTTTCATGCCCATACTCCTAATCATTTAAATATATTTTATGATGTTTAATTTCATTTATTAATAATAATCAATCTTTCAATTGTTAATAATTATAATTATTAATTATTAATTATATTATCGTATTTTATATATAAAATGATAACCCAGTTATTTTAACAATATTTAGTATCAATTAATTCCATTAAATATAAATAAATTATTATAAAATTGTTTTAATATTGTATATATTTTTGAAATGTGAATATTTATAAAATAATATATTTAGAAAATGTATGTTCTAATAATGTATGAGTTAAAATAAATATAGAAATTATATTTAATTCAATCACAAAAATTTTTTTTTGTTTCTAAAAATAATCAATAGATTTTAAAAATAATTTCTTCAATGCATTCTTTCATAAATATTTTCATATAACATATGTACTGAATTGCTTTTTACTTAAAACGTAATGAAAATAATATTAATTTGTGAAATTTTTTTATGAAAATGGACTTAAATATAATGCTATTAAAGCAAAATTTATTTACATATTATATATTACTCGTATAAATATATATATATATATATAATTTAATTATAAATATTCGTATTTATGCAATATAGATAATTGCATATATATTGCTAATTATATGAAAATTTAGTAAAAAGTAAAGAATAAATTTAATAAAATCATATAAGAATTACTAGTATTTTTTTTTTTCAGATTTTTTTTAATTACTATTTTTTCAATTATTTTGTTATATGAAATGATACAGATTAGATCTTAGTTAAGATCTTCTATAGATATATATTTTGTATAATAGATTATACAAAAAAAAAAAAAATAACGTTAATGAAATATTGAAATTTTGAACACATAAATTTTGCAGAACAAATATAGACAAAGAAAATAAATAATGAGAAAAAGGTAGAAAAGAATAAAAATATGCGAATGAGCGCCATCTTTAAAGTACTGTAAACTAAATAGACAAAGATAGAAAATAAAACGAAAAGAATAGAAATTGAATAAGAATTAACTGTTAGCGCTATCTTTTGTCAAAAATATCTCTCCAAAAAATCTTTCTAGAAGTACTTAAAAAATGAAATTAATTATTAATTCTTTATTCTGTCTTTGAAAAGATATTTAGCAGTCGAAAGATGATGTTGCCAGTCAATTCTTATCCTACTTCGATCTTTCTCCTATTATTAGCGTTAATGAAAATGGCGCTAATTTCAATATTTTTATCCTATTTGTTTTAATCTTTATATTTAAATATAATTTTTAAATTCGCTGCGTTAAAATATAAATGACAGAACAAAATTTTCGACATTTTATAATGTAAATTTATACGATTGGTATTTCAAAACTTTAATTATTTAATAGTATTCAATACTTACTTCATCTGTTTATATTTCATTTGTGAAAATAGCTTTACTATTTTATTATAAGTGTGTTTTAAATACAAAAAATGTCACTTGTAACGTTATTTAAGTTTAACAGAAATTTATTTGTTAATCTTAAATTCTCAAAATGTAATGTTCACAGTATGTTGCAAATATATAAAGATAATTCTGAAACTAATATAGGAAGAAATATAAAAGTACAGGTTAGCTGTATTTTATAATTTTTTAATATTCAAAATCATTCATTTAACATTTTTTTTATATTAAAACAGTTTATTATTGAATTTTATTATATATTAAATTTTCACAATCTATTAAAGATAGGGTTGGATTCATGCAGTCAGAAAGATGAAAAATAATATTTTTATTGATATTACGGATGGATCAACTCCTAAAATGTTACAAATTGTTATACCAAAATCCAATAAACCAGATAATTTAAGTTTTGGAAGTAGTATTATAGCAGAAGGAAAATTAGTTTTAAGTCCAAATGGTAGAATTGAATTGCATACAAATAATGTTACTATAATTGGTACATGTGATGTTATGGATGGGTATCCTTTTGCTCCAAGAAAGCATTATGATATGGATTATGTTAGACAATTTTTGCATTTAAGACCAAGAACTAGAAGATTTTCATCTTTATTAAGATTACGTGATATGACAACTACAAGTATTGAAAATTATTTAAGAAGCAAAAATTTTATTAATGTACATACACCAATTTTAACTTCAAATGACTGTGAAGGTGCTGGTGAATTATTTTTAGTAAAACCATATTGTGAAAATGTATTAAAATCAATGAAAAGAGAAAATATGTCAGAAGAAGAATCATATTTTAATACTAAGGCATTTTTAACAGTTTCTGGTCAATTACATTTAGAAACAATAGCAAGGTGAATAAATTATAGAGTTTTATAAATAATTAAATAATGAGAAATTACATATTATATATTTTAGATCATTGACAAAAGTATATACTTTTGGACCATCATTCAGAGCTGAAAATTCTAAATCAAGATTACATTTAACTGAATTTTATATGTTAGAAGTTGAATTAGCATTTATTAATAATATTGATGATATAATGATTGAAATTGAATCATTGATAAAATATGTTATTAAAGATGTATTTGAAAAAGGTGCTGCAGATATACATATAATAGGTGGTTGTGAAGTGGCTTGGTTAAATAAAAAATTTATATGTATAACATATGATGAAGCAATTAATATTCTAAAAAATAATGCAAATTCCTTATCAACTCCTATTAAATTTGGAACAAATTTATCTAAAGAACATGAATTATTTTTAGTGAAATATAATGATAATATTCCAGTATTTATTATAAATTGGCCAAAAGAAAGCAAACCTTTTTATATGAAAGAATGTAAAGATGATGCTTCAAAAGTGAGTATAGTAATACTGAATATGTTAAATATAAATTATCATTATGAAGATACATATGATATTTTTTTTAAAGGTTGCTGCAATAGATCTTTTAGTACCTACTGTAGGGGAATTAGTAGGAGGCAGTTTACGTGAAGATAATTATGAAAAATTGAAATTAAAGTTACCTCCAACATCAGATCTTTCTTGGTATTTAGAACTGAGAAAATATGGCAATGTTCCAACTGGAGGATTTGGAATGGGATTTGAAAGATTTTTACAACATATCTTTAATATACCAAATATTAAGGATACTCTCCCTTTTCCAAGGTGGCCTCATAATTGCAATTTATAAATAGAATTTTAAAACTATTTTATTTATCATTTATTTATCATTATTATTACATATTATACTCTACAAAAAAATAAATATTATAAGATATTATAAAATAAAATTTCTTCTAAGAAGAAAATAAAAAAATATTTATATAAAACCAGCAATGTATGGAAATAGAAAATTTTTGTTTTTTACTTATGAATATTTAAATAAATAAATATTTATAATCGAATATTGTGTTCTAAAATATAACTTTATTCACTTTAGTCTTTATTATGTTCTAGTATTACAAAGTCATTATATTAAGGATAAGAAAACAACACGAACTTTAAATCAATTTTTTCTAAAAATAAGATTTATTAAATACCGAGACAAATCTCAACTAAAGTGTAACTTCTTATTATTATCTGTTTATTTGTTCAAATATTTTTATAGTTAAAAATTTAAACTTCTAAAGTTATTCAGCAATAGCGATTATCATAAAGGATATTTTAGAGAGGTAAATTTAGTAGGATCATAAATAAGCAACCAAAGGAAGTCAGACCCCGAATAATTAACAAGATTTTTTTTTATACAACAAAATAATCCTTTTCTAGTAGTAACTGTTTTTCTTTTTTACCCAATATCATCGGGATTATTTTTGTGTTGGTATTATGTACATTATAATCAACAATTTTATATCACACAATTTGTACACCTAACTAAATTGATTAATCATTCATTATTTTTATGAGACCTCGTTTTCGTGCTTTGTAAAATCAAATAGGAGATGATGCTTCTAGAAAACAATGTATCGAATACCTTTTAAATGTTTTTACAAAGTACAAACGGTATGAAATTTTCAGTTAGTCTTGTGCATATCAGTATTACATTTCTGACATTTCTCTGTCATGAAACACGATTGCACTCAATATTATTAGGAATGCTACTATATCATATCTCGCCTCTAACTAAACTGATTATATTAAATATGTACAGTTCTTGTTCTCTTTTCGCCTTAATTAAAATTTAAAAACTAAATACACGCATACACTTATACAGTCACACATTATAACACATATCCTTTAACTTATACGACGTGATGTTTGAAAGTAAATGAATGTGATTAATTTTTTATACCACATTAGTAGATCAAAGAAATATTTAGATAAAAATTGTGCATATGCATTGAAAAAAATAGAAAAGTAAAATACAGAAAAATGAATGGTATAATGATAATTTAAAAAAAAATCAAATTATAATATTATACATCACGTGATATAAGCTGCACAAATATGATGTACAATGCATCAATACTTAATTTTAAGTAGCACTAAACAAATTCATTCAAATCACACTCCCGCACATACATATTTCAAATACATTACATACACTATTTACATAATTGAGCAGAGTCCTGATAACTCTTGCCCTCTTTCCACAGGAGGTAAATTTGAAAGTTTTCTACCTTGTAAAGCAGGTTTAATAGAAGCAGGCACCAAAGGTTCTATTATTTCTTCAGTAGATGTTTCAATTATAGATTTTTCTTTTTCCTTTGATTCTTCAGGTTCTTTATTAATACATAATGGTTTCGTAATATTAATTTTAATTCGAGATGGCGCTGTCGGAATTGCTGCAGGTGTAGAATCTAATTCTACATTTCCGTCTATAGAACTCTTTACAGCAGCATATGTTGTGTCAACTGTTGCAGGTTCGGTTATTATACTTTCTTCGGGATCTATTTACAAAAATTATTTTGAAAATTTTTAGATAATTGAGATATATATATATATATATATTAATTTTTTTAAATTTAAATTAAAAATTATAATATTATACGATATATACCTGGTTCTGGTTCAATAGGTTCTTCTTTAATTTCTATATTAGTAAAATCAAAATGTTCTTCTTCTAATTGTTCTTCAGGTTCATCAATTGGTTCTTCTTTAATTTTAATATTTTTAAAAGATTTATCCACGTTTTCCGTTTCAGGTATTTCTGTTTCAATATTTTCTTTTTCTATACTTTCTATATCAAGGTCTTCTTTATTATTGTATTCTAATTCTTGTTCTTCTATTTTTTCATTTTGTTCAATACAATCTATATTATCTTCAATTATAGTTTCTTCCTCTTTATTATCTCTTTCAGCAGGTTCTTCTGATACATTATCTTCTATTACGTCATTCGACGGTTCTATTATTTCAAATTCAGTATTTAATGCTTCCACACTTAATTCATCAGTCTTATTATCCTCTATAAATGTTTCATCAGAGCTCTCCTTTTTTTCATCTTCCATTTCTTCAATTGTTTCTTCAAGCGCTAATGCAGATTTTTCCAAAGCTCTCTAATGATGTAAAAAGAGCAGAGTATTAATATATTAATTTTGATAAACTAATATATAGTATTATGATATATACATACAATACAATACCTACATACAATATATATGATATAATAATAAAAATATATAATGCAATAAACGTGCAACAAAATTTAATGTAAATAATATTTTTTATCATCTTTTAATTTGCATGAAATATTAAAAAAATTTGAATTAATAATTTAATTTTTATCATAAAATAATGTATGTATTCAATAAAACTCAAATCTTACCGAATACATATAACCAGTGATGTAACATGTATGACTTTTATTCCTACTTATCTATAAAATGTTAAAAATCAATTCATAATAAAAAAAAATATGGTATAATTTCTATAAAAATAATTTAAAAGATTGAAAAACTAAATTAAATAAAATATATATTGCAGAATTTACATTACATCTTTCACTGCCTAATTCCACTATATCTATAAGTGCGGAAACTGTCTGGAAGTGCAATATATAAATATGAATTATTAAAAAGCACATACCACGAGACTCTTTTCCTATTTTTTTGTAAGAATGCAACAAATGGAAAATTTGTTAATAAATTTATATCGATATTTAATTGATTGAAAATATGAAAAAATATTAATATAATATTGAATTATATATGTACAAAAAAACAAAACCAACCTTGTAATCATCGAGACACAATGGATGATAATTCTTTCCTTCAAAATTAATTGCTGGTCTTAAATGCCATTCTTCCTTTTCTTCATTATAAAATTGTTCAAATGCATCATGACACACTTGACATCTAGAATCTTCATCAGTTCCAGTAGGAACACTAGGTTGTGCAGCTTCTTGAGGAGAATCTTCTGCAGTAATACCTTCTGTATCAGCTGTCTGTTTTTCAGTTTCAAACCAACTTTGTACTATTGTAATAATGTAAGTAGATAATTAGATATCTCGTTACACAATATATATTATAAAAAAGAAAATAATCATTAATTAATCATTTTTTACCTCTATCTTCTAAATCTTCAATTTCTTCAAATTGTATCCAATCGCTTACATCATAATACCAAGGTCGTGAATGAGCTTTCCTTGCAGAATCTCTTTCTCGTCTATTTTGTCTAAAATGCCAATCTAAATGATGACTATATCGAGTTGCCAATTCTGGTGCAAATCTAGCGCCACAAGAACTACATTGCATACCACTGTACAATGCTGCTGCAATAGCTGGTTGTTTACTAAAATAAAGAATATTTTCAATTAAAAAAAAAATTGACTTAATAATTATTTTATTAAAATACTTACACTTTAAGTGTTTCTGGTTTATCAAATGAAACTGGAATAATTTCTGGTTCTTTCTTTTCTTCCTCTTCTTGTTTTTTTTGTTCAGAGAGATTTGATACAATACCAGTTTCAACTAATCTCTGGAACAATTCATTCATATTCAATGGCAATGATAATGGTGGAGCAGCTGCAGGTGGATTTTCTGCTGGTTCAGCTTGATATGATAATCCAGATGATGGTGCCATTGCAGAAGGCAAAGCGGAAGATAACATATCTAATTGCAAATCTGGAACAAAACAAATTTTCGCTACAAGTCTAATGCAATATTACGCAAAAAAATATATTATATTTTTCTTCAAATATTAGTACATTAATATTACATACACAAGATATATACCATTTTATAAATATAATATTTACCCGGTTTAGGAGTAGATCTAAGATCTGAACCATCTTGCGATGTTGATTCATGTTCAACGGCAGAAAATTGCGTTGGTGTAGAAGCTGTATCCACTTTCGGTTTTTGTGTCAATAAAGGTGGGGTAGGTGGTGCTTCAATAGGTTCTTCACCTTTCATACCTGCAATCTTAACATATCCTGGTCGGACACCTCTAGGTAATACCGAAAATCTTATAAAATGTTTTTTATCTCTGACTATAATAGGCTTAGGCAATCCTCCAAATTCTACTTTAAATGGTCGTCCATTTAAAAGAACTGTTTGTAATGAATCTATAAATTCAAGCGTATGAGGTTTTCCTTCAATTTCAAATCTGTAAATGATATATATTGAAACGTTATTTTATATATTTTTAAATTATTGCTTATAAAAATATGAATATAACTTACATTTGAGGTTTTGCATCTAAAAATACAGGAACCATATTACGAGCATTAATAATAAGATTAATTTTGGCAACTACTAAGTCTGTTCTCTTTACAGTACCAATCTTAACAAGGGGTGGAGGTCCTTCTAATTTGACACTAACCTTTTTACCACCAAGATCTACTGTTACAGGCATACCACCGAAATAACATTCATACCATTTATCATCAATATATAATTCTCTCGTCGGCGCACCCAATTTAATTCTGAAAATAATAATAATAAATAAAGTTTAAATAAATATTAATAATATTTTTAATTAAATCAAAAAACAAATAAATCAAAGAAACATTATTTTGCATAAATACATACCGATGAACTTCACCTTCATAAATAAATTCTTTGTATTGATCATTAAATGCGCAAGTTATAGTGATTTTATCGTCGATTAAAACTCGTCGTATACCGTCTTGAAATCCGATTTCTCTTGGATCGTCCCAATTCATAAAAACAACTCCAGTTTGACCATAATATCTAATTTCACGTGGTATATGTTGTATATCTATATCTATAGATTTCATAGTATCTCTTGCAATTTCATCCAATAATTTTGGATCTGGTGGTGGTAATTCACGACTATGAGGATTTGGATTTTTTATCATTGTCGTGGTATAATTTTGATCACTATCTTCAAGATCATATTTTGAGGATGAACTTGGTGATACATTTCTTGAAGCATTCAAAGACATATTTGGATTTGATATAAGATTCGTCATTGGTCCATTGTTCATTATCATTCCAGGTCCATTCATTCCAGATAATGACATAGGTGGATTACCCATAGGTCCGATCGGGCCATTAGGTAATAAATTTGACATAAGCGGCCCATTCGGTCCTATAGGTCCCATCATTCCAGGTCCTAAACGAGGATTTGGACCCATAGTATGATTAAAGCCACCATGATATTGATAATCTGGTCGCATTGGACCGAAATGTCTTGGATTCTGCCATGGACCAACTGGTCTAAAATCTGAATTAAAATGTCCTTGAGGACCACCATATGGAGGTCCAGGTGGATGAGCCCATGGTCCTGGTTGTTGCCAAGGCTGAGTTTGCCATCTAGGACCATTTGGATTTCTTGCAATAGGATGATCTTTATTTCTAATCATTTCTTTATCAGCAGAAGGACTGAATGTAGATGTACGATCTGATGAACCTGTTATATCTAAATTTACACCTTTTTCCCATACAATAGAACCAACTTCCTTTTCTTTTCGTTGTGCAGCTCTTAATTTTCGATCTTCACTCATATGTAAAACTTCTTGAATAAGTGTATTATATTGAGTTTTAGTAATAGTACCTTGATTCAATTGTTCAGCAGCTTGTTTCATTATTATTTCAATATTTCTATCCTCATTTTTTTCGGGTTTATCATTTTCTCGACCCCGTCGACCTGATCTATTATCTTGATCTTCATTCGATAATGTTCTCCTTCTTTCTTTAGGATCATCTGGAAGTTTGTTATAAAGCCTGAGTCTACCCAACCTATCTCTGTTACGATCTCTGTTATCCCGCTTATCATCATTATTATTAGCTTGTTTTTCTCTATCATTCTTTGACGGTGTTTTTAATTTTGCCCAACTATCTTTACCATCTTCACCAGATATTACAGGTGGAGGTGGTGTAGGTGGCCGTCCAGCTTTAGGATGAGTCAATGTTCGTAAATCAACATCTTCATTTCCAAATAATCTATAAAATAAAAAAATTTATATTAATTAAGAATAACACTTCATACAATTGAAAAGAAAAAATAGAATAAAAATACACACGCATCAAATTTTTCAGCTTTTGTTTTCTTTGCTAAAGCAGATTCCATATGTTCTGAAGTTTGTCTTTTATTGGTATTAACTGGTGGTGGCAATACACGTAAATCTAAGTCCTCTTCTGAAAAAAATTTTGAAATAAAGTGAAATAACTCAAATATTATACAAGTATTATATGTATATTTAATTTTACCAATATATAGGATCATTGCATCCTCTTTTGCATGCTAGTTTTATATCTTGAAAAACGAAAAATATTTGTTCGAAACAGAAATAAAGAATATATTATTTATAAATAAAATATTTTAATGCTTCACCCTTAAAATTTAGAGTAATATTGCAGCTGAAATTCTTTTGACACTCAATATTTAGGATTAAGGATATTATAGGAATCATACATCATATAAAGTAACTCACCATTAAACAATGAAAAGTACTTGATATGTGTTTATAAATAGTTTGTATTTGTACTGAACGTAAGATATTAACTCACTCTTTTCTAATACCGAAGTGGCTGCACCTGGAAGAGGTAGAGTTGCTCTCAAATCTTCATCCTTGCTGGATGATTCCACAGTTGGTTCCACAGTAGTTTGAACGTTTCCAGCATTTGCTGGAGAGCGTTCGGGACTAAGACTGCCATCCTTATTACGCCTTACGTAATTTCTTTGTCTAGCATTTGGTCTGATTTCTTTAAATGTAGGTGGATGAGGAGGAGAGACTATCAATGAACCAGATTGCTCCTCCTCAGTAACACCACCAGAATTATTTAGAACTGAATTGGATTTTGCATCATTACGCCTGGGAATTCTATATGGAGGGCTTGGACTGCGCTTTCTCGATTTTGTATTCTTTTTTCGATTTTTACAGGTTTGAAAGGATTGAGGAGAGGTACGCGAAGATGGTGAACTGTCTCCACTGTCTTTTTCACGAGACTTGGATCTAACAGGACTGGCATCTCTGTCGACTTTTGGTATTTTACTCGGAGATGTTTGAGGTTGTTTAGATCGCGATTTATTACCTACTTTTCTATGCGAGGATTTCGAGGAAGCGGAAGATTTATCGATCGTCGACGACGAAGAACTTCGAGAATTCGAAATCTTTGAATCTTTCGACTTAGAATCGTTACTCCCACCTCCTCTATTACTCACGGATAAAGAACTATTACTACCCACAGATAGATTTTGAGAACCTTTGGAACTATTACTGTTTAGGTTACCACTACTATTACTAGACAATCGAGGGTCTTTCTTTTGACTTGTTCGATGCGACACAGCATCTTTATTTGCGTTACCACTGAAATTTTTATTATTATTATTATTGTTGAGGTTCGTATTAGCATTATTGTTATTACTAGCGTTTAATGTCGCAGTATCGGAGCCGGCAAGATTTGTCGGAGACTTGTTGATAGTGCTAGTCACAGCCTGTTTCGAAAGTATCTGCTGTTTTAATTGATCTGAAAGTACAGTGTTTGTATTTGCTGCTAACTGCGCTTGGGCTTCACCCCGCGAATCCTTTTGAGTTGGTGTACTTATTCGCTGACGAGGATCCACACTTGAAACTGATATATCTTGAACCGAAGTAGTCTTTAATCTTGGATCACGAGATACAGGTTTAGCTGATGCCACTGCTATACTACTAGCTGGTGCAATTCGTGGACCATTATTTATTCCTGCATTTTTTAGAAGCGAAGCTGTTGCTGCTGGAAACTAAAAATTAAAAAAAAATATTATAAATAATATATTATAAAATAATTTAGTTTTATTATTTAAATAATTACTGAATAATTACCTGTTTAGCTACTTGTTTAGGTGCTTGGCTTGGCACAGTAGTTGCAACAAGTTTCCCTTGTGTGATAGTTTCTGTGCTTGATGTAATATGCGTTGTAACTGTCACCTATAAATAAAAAATAAACAAAATTTAACTATAATTCAAATATATAATTAAAAAAAACATTCTGTGACTTACCAGTTCAGCTTTTAAATTCCCAGCTTGTTTATCAAGTTGCCGTTGTTGTTGTTCTAAATTAGCTTTAGCTTGAAGTAATTCTAATTCAATTTTTTTCTTTTGCAATTCTATCAATTCTCGTTGTTTTTTTAATAATTGTTCTCGCATTGCTGCTTCTGTAGGTGTTACTGGATCACCTGGTGGAAGCTTAACAGGTGCTACAATTGGTTGTGAAACAATAGATGTTGCTGATTGTTGAGGCTAGAAATAATAAATATATATATATATATCTTTTGTTTTATATGTACATATTTTTTTATGTTTAGAATTATATAATTATATAATTATATTTATCATGAAGTTATTAAACTAACCATTGAAAAAAAACGAGGATTAACATGAATAGATCCCGAAGAAACACTAGTGGGAGAGGCAGTGATTGGCCAGGCAGGATCAATACTTTGCACTCGTACATCTAAAGAAAATAATTTCTTTGCTGGAAATACATCATTCCAGGTTTGTCTTAATTTCCACATGCTAGCTCGTGTATTCTCATCCACCTGTACATTCATGTATTCATATTATTTTGATTTTTATATTCATATTTCTTTTTTTTTCTTTTTATAAGAAGTTAGCTTTATACTAAAGACAGTATAAAAATAAAAGTACAATAACCTGATATTGACTAAATAATTATCTTATAGAGCTATGGAATATAAAGCAGTTTTGTATTTGCAATTGTATTCTATTAAAATACAAATATAATATCAACACATTAAACTTTGTAATATAATAAGACATATCTCTAAAAACATTTTATACATATTAATTACAAAACATACCTTTTCAAATACTCCACAAAAAGTGTTTACAATATTTTGAGTGAAGAGATTCAAATATGCTCCATTAACATTCTTCACAATTGAATCAATCAAATAAAGAACAGGTAATTTGATCTCGCTTCTCACCTATTAAAATATATATTATAATTTATATTAATAAATTTTAGCCATTACTTCATACCATAATAAAGATAACAAATACAATTAAAGAACAAAAAAGAAGAGGTGATTGTATAAATAATTACAGTGTATTGTGCAATTTATTATAATCTATGTAACTTTATTTATCATATTTATTTTTGTTTTATCTTAAATAAGGAAAGGTATGAAATACAGCTTTACTATTTTTAGCAATGTATAATTTATAAATATTTGAAATAAAATGCAACATATAAATTTCCAAGATTTCCTATTCTCTTATATATAATACAAAATTAATATTAAAGTACATAACAATATAAATTAATTTTAAATTACAATAGATAAATAACCTTTTGCAAATGATTTTCAACAGCTTGAACAATAGCTGGTGCATGTTCTATATTATCTTCAGCCAGCATAGTAAGCATATTAATCAATGGTTTACTGTTGATCGTCAAATCAGACAATGATGAGATGTACTCATCTGCTATTTCCTTAGATTTTGTTGATGTCATGATGTTGTGTTGCCAGTTGATAAATGCAACAAATCTTCATCAAATTGACAGTGGTAATCAAACTGTGACACACAAAGAAATAGGCATTAAAAATACTAATATGCTTTTTAATATAGGAAGGCAATAAAATAAACACAATCTCTTATTGACTTTTTATTGAAGTAACATATTGAATGACAAGAATTTATCAATATTTTATGATGCAACTTCAATAATTATCGTAAAGCATTCTTAATATAAAAAAATATTTTATATAAAACTTCTTTAAAAGTAAAGATTTTATTTTTAAACATAAGAATATTAAAAAATATAAAATTATCTATATATTGATTGTTTAAAAATTTACATATACATTTTTATAACTGAAAAGAAATAAAATATTAATTGAATAAATAAATGAATAATTATTGTTTATTTTGTTTATATTGTGATGTTATAATAAAATTAGAAAATTCTAATATACATAAAAAATAAATAAAAAATTTTAAATAAAATTATTTATTGTATAAATAAGAAATTAATACAAAATCTTTGTGCATTATTTTTTGATTTTCTGGTTAGGCTAGTTTAGTTTCAATGAATAAATATATAGACTAAAAATATTGAATACATATACAATTATTCAAAATTTTGTTGTCCTAAACAAATTAATCACAATTAATTAACTTAAAACATCATCTTGAACAGAAATAGTACATTACTATATTCTATTTATATAATATTACTTGAAATCTTTTTACAAAAGATTGAGAGACGTCATATACATATCGATTTTTTCTTTCATTTAACAATTATACACTTTCCAAAAGCTTTTATTACACTATTATTGCAATGTCCATGCACGTTCTAGAAATTTAGCACAAATACCTAAGTGTATACGAATAACTAACACGCATCTGGATTTCCTTAACGCTTGACGAGCAAACTTGAACGACATTCAGTATTATAACTTCACGTTCTATAGTGAGCTTTATCAAGAACACTATAAGTGACACTAGTTTACATTTACCTTTTTAACGCATTTCGAAAAAATAGAAATATCCCGAAACACGATTATTTTGACTTTTCGCGATAATCACGCGGACACTACTGCTACGCCAAACGGGATATCCACGTAAAATGGCTACCATTCCTTTGTACCTTCTAACGGGATTACAGATATGTAACACTCATTGTGATTGGACAAATTTCTTACTCTGTCGGTTGAATTTTAGTAAATGACCAATCATATATTCCCTTATAGAATACAACTAGTTTGCTTAGTATACCAGAATTTTACAATTATCCGCGCGTGTCGCTAGTAGCGAAATGGAAGTATATAGGTGCATTTTCATTGTTACGATATTTATATAAGAGAAATTTATATTAAACGATAAAATAATATGAAATTAAAAAATATTCAAATTTATTGAATTATTGCAAATATGATAAATATTTATACTTTGATTGTTAATTATATAATTGTTTTAAATGTATAAAATTTTTATTATATTCATAAATATTGTCTATAAAATTATAATTTATATTATTACAATTAATATATAATAATATTTTTAACTTTAGAATTTTAATAAATATTTGTATAATTTTAATTTATAAAATCAAATTTAAAAATAATATTATAAATATAGTGTTAAAACTTATATACATATATACATATATATATATATACACAAAACTAAAAATTTCATTATTTCTAAATCATGATAACGTCATAATTCAATGGCGGGGTCGAGAGAAAACGTCATTTTGACAGAATGGCAGAAAGTCTAGAAAGTCAATTACAATTTATATTAAGTACATGTTTTTATTTATCTTATAAAAATGTAAAATTGTCTATTCATTAAATCGTAAAAATAAGAAACAGAAAATAATGTCATAAATAATTTCCTTTAAAATAACTAAAAAAAGTGAATTTCATTAAACGAAGTATATTATAAAATTTTATTGCGTCGTCAAAGTGAACGGTTGCAAAAATTGTACGTGTCGTGTTTGCAAATGCATCGTTAGTTTTACACAGAGTTCCTGACCGTAATACGGTACGGATGTGATGGAGGATTACAAATTTCTCTTTAAAGTTGTACTCGTAGGAAATGCGGGTGTCGGCAAGACTTGCCTCGTGCGCAGATTTACCCAGGTATGCATATACACGTGTATTATTAATTAAATCACATTATTTTTTAATAAAAACATATTTCTCTATATGTTTTATATACTTTTTATGTATATTACTCCATCTGTTTTTATATAATTGTACATATATGGTTTGTATATTTAAAATATAATATTTTTATATATGCGTTTTTAATTATATATATTTATCTTGTAGGGATTATTTCCTCCAGGTCAAGGTGCAACAATAGGTGTTGATTTTATGATTAAAACTGTAGAAGTAGAAAATGAGAAAGTTAAGGTATGCATATGACATAATATATTATGATTCACTCAATGTTTAAATAATATAATATATATTTTTAAAGTAATTTTATCTTATTATAATTAATGTTGTTTTTCTTTTAGCTTCAAATCTGGGATACTGCTGGTCAAGAAAGATTTCGATCAATAACACAAAGTTATTATAGATCAGCTCATGCTTTGATTTTAGTATATGATATTTCTTGTCAACCTACATTTGATTGTTTACCAGATTGGTTAAGAGAAATTGAAGAATATGCAAGTAATAAAGTTCTTAGGATATTAGTAGGTAAATAACATCTATATTATTATAATGATATATTATTATTGATATATTATTAAACATAAATAATTATTTTAGGTAATAAAATTGATCGAGAAGACAGAGAAATACCAACACATGTAGGAGAAGATTTTGCACAAAGACATGGAATGTACTTTTTAGAAACTTCAGCTAAAGAAGCAGAAAATGTAGAGAGATTATTTATGGAAATAGCTGCTGAACTCATGGAGGTAAAATGGAATAAATTCTTTATTTAAATAACTTTTGTTTGAAGAATTAATTAGAATCAAATTAATATATTATTTTAGCAAGCACGCAGTAAAGAGCTACCTAGATATGAAACAAATACAACTTCAATAAATGGAAAAACAACATCAATTGGTGATACAAGTAACTGTGGTTGTAGTAGACTTTCTTAAGTAGCTTTTATATCTATGATTAAGTCATTCAACAAATGCATAATTTCAGTTGCTAAATATGTATGTAGAATATTATCATACAGTTTTTATAGAATATAAAGATTGAATTGCAATATTAGTCAATCTTCTATAACTAAATGAAAAGAATTTTAATATTAAAATCTTTGATATTATATGTTAGCATCTAGTGTTAACAAGCAAATTATATTGATAATTTTGTTGCAAAAAATATTTAATATCTGAAATTAAAATTAATTTTAAGTATGTTGATATATACTTGTCTCTGAATTTGTTTTTATAAATACTGACTGAAGTTTTTATATTAAAATATTTTGCATTTAAATGATAAGTTAAAAACATATTGTTTGATGTTGTATCCATAAATGGAAGTTTACTGTATATTTTATAGTATTTTTTGTTATGTCAGAAAGTACAAATAAGTATTTCATATTTGGTGACTGAATAAGAAGTCATTATGAATATAAGATTTTTACTAAAAATTATAAGCCTAATATTGTCAAAAATTTTCCCAGATTTGCAGTATAAATGTTTATAATACTGCTTTAAGTCAACTGAAGTAAACTGAAATTTGATATTAAAATGCAAACATATTTATTTACGTTATCATAGTTAATGTAAATTATTATAAATAATTTTTTACTTTATCATTGCTTATTATAATGGGTGCGCAAGACTTTCCCAATATATTATTAGCATTTGCACAGCCAAAGTTTTGTTGTATTTTCTAAGATTTTATATTTATGTGCAATTTTTAAATAATAGATAATTAATGCTTGTTCCATCTTTATATTATTTAAAATTTATAATTTATAAATTTTTATTATTATTTATGAATAAGATATTTCTTATTCATACAATCAATAATATAATTTTTTTAGCACATTGTTCTAGTCTTTATATCTTTTTATATTTTAATAAAATTCACAAATTATCTCATATTTTATACAATTATATTATAGAATTTTGTATAATTATATTATGTGATAGATCACCACTATTTTTTACATGTTTTTATAAAAAAAAAAGTTAAGTATTTATCTTTTTTATTTTACATAATTTAAAAATTAAACAATTATAAAATAGAATCACATATATTCTTTTCAAATATATTTAAAATTATTTATTATTTGTGTTTCTATTGATATTTAGATAATCTATATTAATATTAAATTATAATAATTATCTGTAAAGATATACTAAAACATTTTATGTAATTTTTTGTTAAGAATATCGTATGTTATAATATATAATAATTGTTGCGATTCTTATATAATTATGCTGTTCTAATGATTGTAGTTTTAAATTCTGATTACACTTCTTGTGCAATAATATTTTATTAATAACATAATTTTTAAATAATACAGAATATGCAAAATTTATAATAAAATTTTATTGATAAAAACATATCACTTTAAGTACAGATAAAAGACAACTATAAAGTCCTGGATTTTTTTAATTTATCTAAAACTTAAAAATATTTCATAAAAGATGTTAAATTTATGTATTATTTAAAATATAATCTAATACATAAAAATATTATATTATTTAGAAATGATCAGTTTTGAATTTAAAAATTGTTACAATAAATGACAAATAATTTTGTTTTATTTCAAAATATTTTACTTATGAAACATTTTTAAACAGTTCACTTTATTTAGTTGTGTTTTATGTGTTCATTTTATATTAATATATATTATGAATTATTAAAAATAATCAGAATATTTTTATTAAAAATATATCTAACTTTTTTCAATTGATAAAATCTTTAATACACTTCTGCCATGTAAGTTTGTTGTAAAATTTTAAGACATCCATTTAATAATATTTATATAAATAAATATAAATTGAAAATACATATATTTATTTAAAAAATTATTCCTTTCAAAAAAAATATATATATTACTATATATATATATATTTATATATATTTATATATATTTATATATATAAAAAATACTATATGATTATATCATAATTTATCATCATAATTTGTTTGAATATAATCATTTATATTTTCATTGTACATAATGAAAAAAATCATTTAGCTGTACTTGTCGAAGGGATAAATCAAATAATTTTTTTTGAATAGATAAATTCGACGCATCTGAATGAGCCCGACTGGAACGACAATTATTAATATATATACCACCACAATTTTCAATTGTTTTATTTACTGCTGCATATATAATAGATATAGCTCCTTGTTTGGGAGTCTGAAAAAAATATTTTATTACTCTAATCTTTTAATTATAAAATAAATATTAACATATTTACCTTAAAAATATATTGATAAAATGATCTATATTTCCAAATATAAGAATGTATAAAAAGTTCTGTAAATACTAATCCAGGATGTACAGAATAAACTTGTATATAATATTGTTTTTCTTTTAAAAGATTTTGTAGGCCTTTTGTGAATATTTCTTGTGCTAATTTACTTTGTGCATATGCATATTTAGTGAGGAATTTGTTTCTATCTGAAGCATGAAATTTTCATGAATGAGAATATAAATTGCAAATGAAAAATAAGAATGTAAAAATATGATAATATAATACTTACTATTAATGTCATTAAAATTAATTTTACCTATAAGATGAGCACAAGAAGTAATATTAACAATTCTACTACACTGTTCAGGAAGTCCACCAGCCTTTAATAATGGTAAAAGTTCAGCTGTTAATAAAAAATGTGACAAATAATTTACAGCCCATTGTTGTTCAAAACTATCTACTGTTTCTTGATAAGGACAAAACATGACACCAGCTAAAAACAATAAATAAAATTGATTTTATTTCAATTTTATATAAATTTTTATATAATTTTTTATATTATTTACTTTCTTTACCATTATTAATTAAAACATGAATCTGTTTGTAATCTTTTTTTATTTCTATAGCAAATTGTTTTACAGATTGTAAAGACGAATTATCAAGTTTATATATTTTTGCTTTGCCAGTATTAATACCAGATTCTCTAATTTGGAGAATAGCTTTCTCACCTGCAAAAGGTGTTCTACAAGCTAAAAAAAAAAATTGTATATAAAATATTAAAAAAAAATTTTAATAAATAAATGAAATATAATTAAAATTTTAAATTTACCAATTATTACTTCCATATCAAGTTCTAAAAATGCTTTTACTACTTCAAATCCAATTCCTCTGGATCCTCCTGTTACGATTGCAATCCTTCCTGTCTGAGGTAAATAATCTTAAAAAAATATTTAAAAGATATATAAAACATTTTTATAATGAATATACATATATGTAAAAAAATATAATTTTTATTTGTTAAAAATATTTATCAAAAAAATTATCACTTATCAATTTTTAATTAAATTTATTAAATTTAGTTAAATTTAATTTATCAATATAATTGATTTAATTTATTAACTCAAATATTTTTATTTATATAAAAAAGAATCGATTTTAGTTACATATATTATTTTCAAAATATAAAAAATATAAAATATTTTATAGATATAGTATAATAGATGTATCATATATATTCATTATCTTCAACACTTACCATTCTTATTATTTTTTATATTTATCCAATTATTTATAAATTCTTTAGTAACTAATAATAAATATTTTATCTCGCAAACAAAACTTTCGATTAGAAGAGGCTTTTGTCGTAGATTGTAGTAAATCAAACTTAAAATTATCATACAGATTGAACTAGTGAATAGCATTTTGTTAAATTTATCTCTTTTAATTTTAAAAATTTTAATTTTTTTTCTCAAAATAAACTATTATTCTAAACTAATGAATGTAATTAAAGAATTGGCTTAAATTTATATATAATACTTTATAATATAATATAATAATACTTTACACCTTTTATGTATACTTTTCTATCTACTTTTATATACTGCAAATTTTAATACCGTTATTTTATAATGTTTAAAATGTGCTAAATTATAATATACACATTTTATTTATTTATTAAAAATATTTTTTAAGATATTTTAAATTATTATTTTTAATTTTATATTTATAAGAGAAATAAAAATTAATTTAAGTATCGTTATTCATATTAATTTTGCTTAAATGATTTTAAATGTTTTATATAACATGGTTGTATAATAACTATTATAGTACGTACAAAAATTTGTTTCACATATTATCTTTAACTTTTTACATTAGCAATATATATTAATTTAGCAATATGATAAATATATTATAAATGCATCAAAAAATTCATTTTTAATTGTTTCTTAATAAATTTTTAAATGTTTCTTAATATATAATTTTATTTAATTTTATTTTATAAATATTTTTAAATTTATAACATCATTTTTCAAATAAAAAAATATATTTAAAAGATATAATAAATATTTAATAAAAATATATATAATAGATATTTATAATATATAAAATAAATATCTGAATGTCATATATATAATGATTGCATCAATGAAAAATTATTATAATTAAAATTAAAATCATTTATGTAAATGACGTATTAGTTTTTATTAAAACAGTTTTATAATTCAATGAAATGCCAATAGAGTACGTCAGGCAACGAATCATGTACACCATCTAGTAGAGAAATTAAAAATCTTAAAGTCGAAACTCAGAATATTTATTAAGATACCTGTGAAAATTATAGATCTGTAGGTAGTGAATTTACTTATAAAATACTTTACGTTATATTTGTTATAATTTATAATATAAATTCGTGTGAGTGTTTGTAAGAATTGAGATTTTTATTAAATAAACAACTGTTTAACATCATATAAAGTAAGTTCGTTTAAATCTTGAAATTATTCATTGATTCAATGCAAATAGAATTTTTATGTATAATAAAAAATTATGTTAAATATTTTTTAAAAACATAAACTTTTATTTATATTTTTTAAGTATAAGTTTCAATAATATAAATTTGTATAAATTTTTTTCATAGTATTGAAAATAATGAGAGTTTTTTAAAAATAATGAGAGTTTAATTATGTTTAAAATATTTTATTAGTATAATTTCTCATTTATTGCTTGTATTAACTGCTTTCGCTTTAGAAAATAGGACATGATTTACATTTATCATATATTTCTGAAAAATTTTTTTTGAAATAGCAATATATTTAAATATTTTTGTAATATATATGAATATTTTAAATGTGAAAAAAATGGAAAAAAGATATTTTAAAAAAATTTTGCGCAAATATTTTCAAATTGAAAATATAAATTTATTTTTAATATATAGAATGGCAGATACAGCATCAAGTAATTCAATGCACATGGAAAAAGGTTGGGGTGCTTTGAGGCAACATATCATTGACAATAAGATTAAAGCCGCATTATGGGTTACAAGACTTTTCACTATTATATTTACTATTGGTTATATTATTCAAATATTTGGGTATGTTATTTTAAATTTTTGTTTTATAAATTGAAAAATTAAACTTCATATTTTATATTTCAGCAATCCTTATAATATTTATTATAAAATATTAATGAATAATGCAGCTACTAGTGCATTACGTCTTCATCAAAGAGTACCACATGTTCAACTTAATAGGCAATTTTTAGAACGTTTATTTGTTGAAGATTCTTGTCATTATTTATTATATTCTTTAATATTTCTTTATACAGCTCCTGTTACATGTATCCTTTTTAATATAATAAATAGAAAAATAAAATAATTTTTGATACAGGAAAATTTTTTTACATTTATAATAACTTAAGATTATTTTTCTTAAATATTATTAATTAGTGGTGTTAACTCCTATATTTTTATTTGCATTAATGCATTTTGCTAGTGATTCTCTCACATTGCTTGATGTAAGTAAAAAAATTTTGTTTTGTAATGCTGTGTCATCTTATTTAATTATATCTTATTTAATTATATTTAATTATATATATAGTATGATGTGTGGCAATTATAATAATTATATTTATTATACTTATTATACTTATTATACTTATTATATTTTTTACATCAGTGTTTAGGACAAAATAGTTGGTGGGGAGCACGTCTTTTAATATCATTAATAGAATTTCAATCACGAAATATTTTACGATTGTGTGGATTATTTGAAATAATTATTTTGCCATTCACAGTTCTTCTTGTATTTACGTATGTATCACATATATATATATTAGTTTTTTAAATTTAAATTTTTTTAAATTAATTTGCAAAAATAATATTTTACAGGGGCCGTGCTAGTTTATTAACACCATTTATTTACTTCCAATTTTTAAAATTCCGTCTTGCATCACAAAGAAATCCATTCACTCGCAATGTTTTTTATGAAATTAGAAATGGTTTAAGTTCTGTCTCAAGAAAACCAACAGTGCCAATTATAATACGACAAATAATTGAAGGTTTACTGTCACTTACACAACAAATGGCTCCTCTTCGTCAGTAACTTTTCATTTTAAAAAGATGTATTAAATTATCAAAACAAATTTTCTAGGGTTTAGGGTCCATATAATAATAATTTCATATAATAAAATGACAAAATGAGTGCAAATGTAAACTACAAACTTATGATCTGTTATCTCAAAATGAACACAAATGACAAACATAATTTTCTGAAATTTTCATTAATATTTGTACTCATTTTTGAATGCAGTAAATAATAACATTTTTGAAATTGTTTCATACAATTTATTAATAAATTAGATTTAGAATTTATTTACTAAACATTAAAATGCATATAAATATAATATATAACTAAAATTTTAATATTTTATCGTACATAATATTTACAATAAGATTTTAATTATATGATTCTAAAGAATTTCATATAGAATTTCAGTAAATATATAGTAAAATGTGTTTGTTATAATGAATTTCTTTAAAATTTATTCTATATAGATTTTATAGATTCCATATTCATATTTCTTAATTTTTTGAATTTCAATATTTCTATTTTCTTATTATTCAATATCATAAATTAACTCTACATTATGTACAAGAAATATGAAAATATTGATCAATATATATTGTATTTTACTTATTAAGATATGTTTTAAAATATTTAATTATCGTTTATATCGATCTTATTTTTTTCGGGAAAAATTTAATGCAGATTAATATTATATAAACAATACAAATTTTCTATTATATAATATAAATATGGATTATTCCATAAAGCTTTTAGTAAAATAGTATTTAGTTAAGTATTACCTTAGTCCTAGCTAGTCTTGAAAAACATTTTAAGATAATTCTATCAGTAATGAATGTCATTTACAAATCGTGCTAAATACTAAATTAAATTTAAATTCAATTGTAAAATTTTCATAAACATATATAAAAATTAATTTCTTTTTGTTATGTTGCATTTATAAAAGAGAATGTTCTTACTGTATTTCTTTCTTTACGTTGTTATTATATTAAAAAGAAAATAAAATATTTTCATCAAAATAAATCAAATAAATATAAAAAAAAATAAAATATTTCTTTTAAAAGTTTATTTTCACTTTTATATAAATTACACTGCAAGTGGTATTGGTTGTGGTAAATCCTTTGATGCTTTTACTTCAGATGTTGGTTGCGAAGGAAAAACTTCATCTTTTGGCTCAACAATTGAAACAGAATCTGGAAGAGGTTTTTTAGGACCTGTCTTGCCATGAGGATCATATGGGAGCATGATTTTTACTTTGATACCAAGTACACCTAATACAAAACATTAATTTAAATTAAAAATTATTTTTATTTTTGATTATTTTTCATTGATTTATTGAACATACCTTGTCGAAGAAGTACATGACGAGTTGCAGTATTAACATACTCATTAGTTGGTTCTCCAGAATGAATCATCAATCCATCAACAAATTTCATTGATTTTGCTCTTTGTCCACGTAATTTACCACTAACAACTACTTCACAACCTTTTGCTCCTGATTCCATAATAAAACGAAGTACTCCATAACAAGCTCTGCAATTGTACAAAAATAATATACAAAATTTACCAGATAATAATATGATTTATACCTTCGTACAGCAAGACCTCCAATTAATTTAAAACGTAGAGATTCTGCTTGAGCAATCGCACAAAGACCACGTGTTGCTACTTTTTCGGCATATAATTCAATATTTTGTGTTTCTTTGAAATTAAATCGTTTTTGTACGACAGAAGTTAATTCTCGAATCCTACGACCTTTTTCTCCAAGAACACTTTGCGTATGAGTTGCCAGCAAGATAATTTCTGTACGATGGGGAGTGACACGTACTTCTACTCCCGAATATCCATCTTCTGACAATTCACGAGTTAAAAACTCATTTAATTCAGCTTTAAAAACTCCATCTCCAACAAACTAAAAAATAAAATTATTCATTAATTATTATTCACTGTACAGTTTTAAAAGATTGCAAACTAACCTTAAAATTTGTTGATATAAACAAATTTATATAACGTAAAACATAACTTTATTAATCTAACTTGTTTAATCTAATCTAATAATAAGTATAATATATTTCAATACTTATAAAAATAAGATATTTAAAATATATTTATAATATAAAGATTATGATTATATCAAATCAAAGAAAAACAGCTGAAAGTATCCATGTCATCTATAACTTTCACATGTCATTCATGCCTATTTTATAATAAAATACTTCTTATATATCTTCAATTATTATAATCGATATCATATTTTTATAAAATATTAATTATAAATTATAGAAATTCACAAACCTTTCTCTTCTTTGAAATAGAACGGTTATCCATGTTTTATGCTAACGATACAAAAGGCATCGAAAATCCAAAAGACTCAACTGGAAGCGGAAATGATGTTTGTATGTAGCATCATATTAGTGTTAAATAAATATTTATGATAAAAAGATATTACTTAAAAATATTGATTATTTACACTACTTTTTTATAAAAATAGTTAATATTTTTTAAATGAAAAAATATGAAAATTAATCTTAAAATTAATATGTTACTAGATTCGTAAGTCTAAAAGTTAGAAAAAGCACTAGATATTTGAAATATGTATTACACATACACATACACACATTCATAATACAATGAAATATTGAAGTGTATTCTTTAGAATATGTAATTATTTTTAAATAAATATGCAAATCATTAAATGATAAATTTATTATTAGATAACCTTTATACCGATATATACACCTGATGTGTATCTATTTTATACATAAGAAAACAGATATATTTGTTTAATTTTAATGTATATATATAAAAAAAAAAATAAAATAATAATTTAAATTTAATAAAAATCGATTTAAAAATGTTATAAGATAATAAATAAATATTATGAAAATCTATGTATTATATTTATTATAATATAACTTTTTTTATTTGAAAAATATGAAAAATATTGATCGTTATTACAAGACTAATTAGATTTACTTCTTACGTCCCTGGTGCTATCAAAACACACATGCATATCGTAATACATCTTTATATGATTATTATATATGTATATTTTATTGAGTCATGAAATGAAGATACACTTGTGTATGCATTTGTTGCTTTACTGTGCTTCGGAATTATGTCTTATTCTTGATATGGAGTGGAAAACAATAGCATTTACAATATTGGTTGTAAGTTTGTGTTTTTTGGCAATACCAATTAAGGTGGATCCAGATAATAATGAAGATATTAAACTTTTTCAAAATTATGTTATTCGTTATAATAAATCTTACAGAAATAATCCATCAGAATATGAAGAAAGATTTAAACACTTTCAGGTAAGCCATGGAAAATCTCTATTCATAAAAATATTACATAAACAATTCAATTTCACACTATATATTTTTATTTTTAAAAATTTCATTCTTGTTGACAGATAATAGTTTTAAAAATTTCCCGCGTTCTTATATATATTCTTCGTTTTTATTTTTATTTATTCTATTTTCCAAAATATATTTCGAAATCATATGATATTAGTTAAGATATAATATATAGCTTGTTTTGATAATATAATATATATTTCAATGATATAATTCGATATATTTACACAATTGATAATTGATTATGAAATTTAAAGATAATTATCAAGAAATTGAAATTTCTATAATACTCATAATAAAACATATATACAATATTAAATATACAATATAAAATATTATGAATTATTTTTTGTGAAATTACATAAAAAAATAATTAATTTCTTTTATATAATTCTAATATATTTACAAATATTATTTTTATTTTTGCAGAGATCGTTACAACATATAGAAAGAATGAATAGTCTCCGATCGTCACAAGAAAGTGCTTATTATGGACTCACTGAATTTTCTGATATGTCGGAAGACGAATTTTTGCTACATACTCTCTTACCTGACTTACCAATAAGAGGTAAGAAATAGAATCTTCTGAAAAAAGATGGCTATTTGACTTTTTTAAATTTTTATAAATTAAAATGTTTTTATGTATTTTATTATTTTAAAAAGATTGTAATTAATTTCATTATATTTACATGAATAAATAAAACAACATAAATATTTATTAGAAATAAATAAATAATTTGTTAGGAGAAAAACACATGAATGCATCGTATCATCGCAAGCATCAGGTATCTACCGATCGAATGAAAAGATCAATTAGTATACCTTCAAGATTCGATTGGAGAGATAAAGGAGTAATAACTCCAGTACGTAGTCAAGGATCTTGTGGTGCTTGTTGGGCTTTTAGTACTATTGAAGTTATTGAATCAATGTTTGCAATAAAAAATGGCACTCTACATTCTTTGAGCATACAAGAAGTAGGAAGTATTTCACATATATTTTAAAATTTAATAAAAAATAGAAAATATTTATTCGTTAGATAATATATATATATATATTATAATAGATAATATTTATTCGTTTTTTAATTTCTTTGATTGATTAGATGATTGATTGTGCGAAAAATAGTAATTTTGGATGTGAAGGCGGAGATATATGCAGTTTGCTCTCGTGGTTATTAGTATCAAAAGTTCAGATACTTCAAGAATCTATTTATCCGCTTGTAGGAATGACGAGTACATGTAAACTTGAAAAGTAAATATATCGCAACAATTATATTCGAATAATAATATGTGTAAGATCATGATTAAGTAATATATATTGTTTTTATAGAATGACAGATAAAACATTTGGTATAAAAATACAAGATTTTACGTGTGACAGGTAAAAAAATTATGTTACTTATAATTATATGATATTGATAGTTTTAAATGATGGATTATTTTTAAGTATTAAATATTCAATTAATAAAAGAATGATATCTAATGTAATTATTTAAAGATTTTTTTATATAAGTTAATTATTAATATTCTTATATCATCATATGCATTAATATTATTGAATTTATACGAAAAATAAAAATCTTAAACTTTTTTTCATTAATCTAATTGTTTGAAATTAAATTATATTAAAAATTTAAATTAAATTAAAATTTCTACAAATTTTTAACTTATTTATTCATCAATATTGAAAATGGTCTATCTATTGTCTGCTATATTTGCCGTTAAGAAGATTAAAGGTTTAACGGATTTTAGTTTCGTAGATGCAGAGGATGAGTTATTGATAGCACTGGCCACTCATGGACCAGTAGCGGCAGCAGTAAATGCTTTATCCTGGCAAAACTATTTAGGTGGAGTAATACAATATCATTGTGATGGTTCTTTTGATAATCTGAATCATGCTGTACAAATAATAGGATATGATAAATCAGTTGCCGTACCACATTAT